GGGGAAGGCGACGGGGAGGGGGGGGCGATGAGGAGGGGAGGGTGATAAGGAGGAGAGGGTGAGGAGGACGGGAGGGCAATGTGGGGAGGGGAGGATGATGGTGGGCTCTCTTTCTCTCTCTCTCTGTCTATCTGACTATTCAAGAAGAAGAAGAAGACGATGGCGAAGACAACGAAGAAGAAGAATATTATGGGTGGGCAGCCTGAGCTGCCAGCACAGTGGCAATGATGGCGGGTGGACAGCACAAGCAGCGGGCAGCAGCTGCGCAGCGCCAAGGCGCACGGCAACCAGTGATGGCAGCCGGGCAGCAGCTGTGTAATGGACGCTCGATGAAGAGGAGTTTTGGCGAGAAGGGGAGGGCGTGGCAGTTTTGGTGAGGAGAGGAGGGTGGGGCAGTTTCAGCGAGGAGGGGAGGGCGGGGCAACCCTACTCCACCAAAATGTCCATCCATAGGAGGCCGATCTAGGGCACTGATGTTGTGAGATCGGTGGTCTAGATTGCAAGATTGTCGGCCTAGATTGCTGTCCTAAATCACCAGTTCAGTCGAGCCTAAGCAGTCCTCTTACTGGTATACGAGGTAAGAGTGTTTCAATTTGGGCCTGGGACAGTAGCGATCGTGGCAGGCCACTTTGAAACGGAGCAGTTGAAGGCGCTGTGAGCCTTGGAAGGTAGCTTTGTCAACTCAGGCTCACGTGAACTGGTGGTTAAAAAAAATTGAAAACTACCGTCTTCACCCAAATATAACGCCCGGTCATTATAGCCGTATTTGGGGCCATTTTCTGTCCAGATGCAGTGATAATGACCGGGCGTTCTATTCGGGGGTACCGGCCCCCGTTTCTTTTCTTTTTTTTGGAGCAGGGGAGGGCTCAGGGGGGGACTGGGGAGGCAACCAGGTGACAATTTTTCTGTTCCCCCCTCACCAGAAATGCGCTGAGCCCACCCGGACGCCGACCGGCCAGGTGAACCGACTGGCTCAACCAGAACACATCCGGGCAAGGAAGGGCCTGCCGGGGGGCCGGTGGACCAGCCCTGGTTTAAATGTTTTGCCTTTGAGGGGGATTGGGGATTTCGGTTTAAGTCCTTACAGCAGGAGTTTTAAGGGGGTTCAGGGGAAACGGAGGGGAGGGTTAGGGCGATAGGGGCTTTTTTCTTTTTCACTTTGCCTTTTCCTTTTTCCTCTCTTCATCCTTTGCTGATTACTTGTGATTTGGTTAGAGGGAGTCTTTAGGGGATTAGAGTGTGTGTCGTAAGCGTTTGCCTTTTTCTTTTTTTTTCTTTTTTTTTCCTTTTTTTTTTATAACAAAAAACAGGCCCTTATGGTCCTGGCTCCATTTCCATTCTGGGGAGCATCGTTTTTTTTTTTTTTTCCTCACTTCATTTTTCCTGGTATTGTAACGTTTGCTGAACAATATGTGATGTGTTTGCAGGATCCCCAAGAAGCACATGCTCGGCGAGGAGGTTAGTGCAGACGGAGCCGATAGAAGAGAGAGGGTGATGATAATGTGACTTGACCACACCTACTCCAATTGCGTATGCGCCCTTACCAATGATTAAGAACTCCTTTTATTTGTCCCTTTACACATGAATCTGCCCTTACAAGGGAAAACAAATTTATTTTTTCTCCCCTTCTTCGCTTCACTCGACCAGAAGCTGTTTGTATATCAATTGTACATAACCGTCAGCATCTACGTTTTCCAGATTTTTTCAGCAACTCCTTCAACTAAAAAGCGGGTGTCGGGACATCCGTTAAAAAATTGGAACGATACAGAGAAATTGAGAATGAAGATTAGCATGGCCCCTGTGCAAGGATGGCACGCGCAAATCGAGAAATGGTCCAAATTTTCGGGCTCTGAAAAACAAAAAAAGTGGGTGTCCCATCAACCCCCCCCTTGAAAGTGAAAAGCGGGTCTCATGCAATGCTGTTTCCCGAGATGTTGTGGAGACCGCCTGAACCCAATATGGATGGCCCAGCAGTTAGTTGTGCAGTCTGGATGCAATTTGCGCCATGCTGTGCAAAAAGATTGGGGCTGCACATTGCAGACTCATCTCATACTCTGCACAGCCAAAAAACGATTACGGCGCACAGCGCAAAAAAGTTGTACCAGGTTGTGCAAAAGTCGTTTCGCACTGCACGGCGTGGCGTGCATTTGCTTTGATCCTCTGCCGCTCTCTCCATTGCAACCGCACATCGCTTGAGTGCCGCATGGCATGGGAGGGACACAGAGCTGCTGAGCGCAAGAGGGAGAGAGTGGCAGGGAGTGCACGAGAAGGAGAGAGTGCTGCACGGAGTGTATGCATGAGAGAGAGAGAGAGAGAGAGAGAGAGAGAGAGAGAGAGAGAGAGAGAGAGAGAGAGAGAGAGAGAGAGAGAGAGAGAGAGAGAGAGA